AAAAGAAAGAAAAAAAAAAACAAACCAGTGAAACCCCTTTATTTACAATGCAAGGAAATACTATAGGAATTAAGGGGACAGATGACTTTCAGCTGAGGGAACAAATATTGAGGTCAATATGACTTTTTCTTTACAAGTATGTAGCATTTGGGTAAGCTTAGATGCAGAAAGGGAATCTTAGAAGAATTAACCTATTGTAATCAAGAATCCCAAGCAGCTGCATTAGATCTGCTTAAGACTGGCACAGGCAATAGTTAATCATGGGTGGAGGTGGAGCACATGAATCCTCACACTTCCTTGCTAAACTATTGGCAACTGAAAAATACCTGGGAGTCATTGTTTTCAATTGCCTACCTGCTGGTGAGCACATCAAGCTCTAATTGTTCCTTTCAAGCCCATGGTCACACAGGTAGGTCTGGTTATTTAAGCTCAGTGTGTCAAAACAAATGAAGAAAACAATTCTTTTCAGTTTCTCACATGAAAGTGGGAGAGGAATTTGTAGAAAAATGTTTGAGGTTGGGCACGGAGATGGAGATAAGAGAGGGTCAGTGCTGGGTAAAATCAGAATATATTACACACAAGTATAAAAATGTTAAAGCATGAATTTAATTATTAAAAAGTACAACTGTAGTTTTGCTTGATGTTCATTTTATAGGAATTGAGTGGACTAGGGGAGGGGCATAGGAGAAGAGGGATAGAGGATGGAACTGGGAGGAGAAGAGGGAGGGGGCAACAGCTGAGATACAAAGTAAATAAATTGTAATAAAAATAAAAATGAATAAATAAATAAGAAAAATTTTGAATAAGTTTCGAAATTCAGCTTTGAGTCCAATCCTTGGCAGTAAGGTAAAGAAATGTACAAGCCTTTTTTTGTTTGTTTGTTCATTTGTTTAATGCTTTGAGAAGTAATAAATATGTTTGTCATGGAGAAGCATATATTTCTTTAATTCACTGATAGATATTTATTAAGACACCCACCACACACATTGCAGTGTCTTGACAATAGGAATATATAAGTAAATTAATCCCATTTTAATCTCTTCTTGCGTAAAATCTACATTCTAGTTACCATTTGCGTTTTTGGTGTTATTGTTGTTGTTGTTTTTGAGACAGGATCTCTCTGTTGTAGCCTTGGCTGTCATGAGCTTGCATTGTAGTTCAGGCTGGCCCCAAATTCAGAGATCTACCTGCCTCTGCCTCCCTTAGTGCTCAGATTACAGGTGTGTGACACTGCACCTGGCATCATTTATATTTATAACTTCAGGTTGAATTGGAACAATTGCTTGACTACTTACCATCTAAATTATGCTTTAGAAAGTTTAAATAGGTAGGTTGCATTGGAACAAAGCATTTACAGAAATGGAAGGAAGAAGATACAAGGAATTAGCAACACAAATTACAGTAGTGTTAAGTAAAGGGTTTTTCATAAGCAATCATAAAAAATCTAGAGTTCATAAAAGTAAACCTAAAATTGACATCCGAAAGATACATACATGATCTGAAATCTCCCTGAATAGAGGGTATAGTGTTGAATAGCAAAATAGGAGATAAAAGATATGGTCTAGCTGCATCATAATGAGTTTGTACTTCGTGTGATATATGAGAGTTAGGAAAGTCCCACATTCAATAAGATATATAAAATGAATCTTGAAAACAGAAAAAAAAATACTTGAATCATTGGTTTAATGAAGATGAGCAGATTGTTTAGAAAAAAACATTACAGATAACTAATAATTAGAAAGTATTGATTGACAATTGAGAGGAGATATAAATATAAAAATAAAGGGAATATCTGGAATAGATCCTCAGGAAAACAACAAAAAATGAATATGTAACTGCCATTCTGTCAGCCCAGTAAGTCAAAAGGAGGGATAAATTTCAGTGGTCAACTATTACAAAATAGGCACACACCATTCTGGCCAAAGGAGACCTTACAAAAACACTGGCAAACAAGCACTACCTGATTTCATAAGGTAGCATTTCAGCCGAGAAACAGATGCAGAGACAAGTAAGAAAAAAAAAATTAAAAAGTATTTCTAGGGAGCCAAATATTTTCATGAACTGACACATTCCAATGAAGTGAGTGATTTAAAATTTTCTTCTTCATATTTAGGGCTTTGGCTTGAATTGCTAAGCCATCACAGAGTAATATGCAGAATAGCAGGATTATCAGAACATCACAAAGTCAAACAGAATTTCAAATACTCATTCCTCATGTATAGTTTCCAGTTGCTCAACCCTCCAAATAGTTAGCTTTTCATGGAAATAAGATTATAATAATATTCATAGAAACGTCAAATAAAACACATTGTCTGATGATAGTAAGTATTTAAAGAACATTTATTTTCATTTTCTACTCTAATGGCTGGATAAAATATACTATTTTAAATCTTAGAAACACATTTATCTTAACTAGCCTTTGATTTTATGTAAGTTTCTTTCTAATCTGGAATACTGAAACAAAAATTAGTAAATTTCTAAGAATGCAACCACAAAGTACATCTCCAATGTTACTCTCTAATTAAAAATATAAATAGGACTATCCATGGAGATAATCTAGAACCCTGACAATGCAGCCACTTTTGATGAGAACTGATAGACTAAGATCAGAAAGAAGGAGAAGAGGACCTCTCCTATCAGTGGACTTGGGGAGGGGCATACATGCAGAAAGGGGAAGGAGGGTGGGACCGGGAGGGGAGGAAGGAGTGGCTTATGGGGAGATACAAAATGAATAAAGTGTAATTAATAAAAGTTAAATAAAAAATTAAATATATAAATATATTATTTATATATAAATATATATAAATATATAATAAATATATATAAAATATATATATATAAATATATATAAAAATAGTCTTCCTCTGTGGCCTAGCAGGACTGCTCTTCCCTTGGGAGGTGGGGAGGTCAAAGAGTCTGTCATTGAGTTCCTGTCAGAAATAGTGGACTTTGTAGCCAGTCTTGAAGATACCTGATAAAACAGGGTCAGATGAAAGGGGAGGAGGTCCTTCCTAATCAGTGGACTTAGAAAGGAGCAGGGAGGAGATGAGGGAGAGAGGGTGGGATTGGGAGGGAATGAGGGAGCAGGATATAGCTGGAATACAGAGTTAATAAAATGTAATGATAAAAATTTAAAAAATAAAATAAATAAAATAAAAAGTTAAATGGAAAAAATATAGTCATGGTACAACTTAACATTTATAGAGAATCAAATTAGAAAATGAAAGTAAAATTACTTGGATGATTATAAAATCTGAAAATTGTAGTTATTGTTAATTAACATAACTTTGATTCACTGTTTGTAAAGAGTGCAATTTTAGATTTATAGCTTCAGCTTGACTTTTGCCTAATGGTAATTAATAATATTAACAAGGACTTTTCACTTGCAGAAAGATTTTTCAAAGTACTTTTATATTTATTGCCTTCTAAATTTATCACAAAATCTCTGTTAAGATTAAAAGACAATGGCTATTAGAAGCTATCAAAATTGACTTTCCAGTGCTTACAGCGTCTGTCTACTGTTAGACTTTTATTTTTTGTTTGTAGTTATAAAATCGTAGAATCTAATATATAAAAGTGAAAATTGTTCAATATAGTTCTTTCTGTGTATCATTTCGTGATGTTTCCTAGTGATGTAGCAATATTCAGACAAGTTGATTCTGAAGATTTCAATACTTTCAACTAACATGCTTCCATATGAGCAATAGTAGTTCAACTTTTAAACCCAATAGTTTACAAATAATATAAAAGTAAACAATACATAACAGAACAAATAACAACAATAGTGGTAAAGCCCAAACCCAAAACAATGGAAAGACAATAAAGTGTGAAAAATCTTGTTTGGAAGAATCAAGGATTGGGCCAGATTGGGAGAAGGATGAGAAAGGGCAATGGGTTGTTAAAATGGCATAAGCCAAATGAGCCAAATCAACTATAGCACTACAATCACTGTTTAGTCATTCATGTAAGACTCAGCCAAAATAAATTCTTGACTTGCATTGATATTATATTCTGTCACAAATGGTGGGAGATCTCTGGAGAGATAAAGTCAGAAGCTACAGGACCAAACAAAACTAGCATCATTGTTGATTAAAAAAAAAAAAAGTGTGGCCGGAAAGGAAGAGAAAAAAAGAATGGTAGACATTGTTATTACCTACTGTTTGTACTAGAACAACAGACTAACCAACTGTCCAACAAAACAAGACATAGGTGAAGGAGATCGATATGAAGAGAATTTCCATAGTCCAAAATATTCTTCAAATTATCATGTCAAACTTTATGCTAGATAATACCAATGTTCATTTGATATACGGTAATGTTGCATAATAGTTAAGGAAAATTCAGTCAGTTATTAAGAATAAATCTTTGAAACCTACTTCAAGTTCATAATATGATTCTTGCCGGAATTCCATTTAAAGAATATTACTCTAGGCTTCTGTTTTTGTTGTTCATGCACACAGACTTAATAATTTTTGTTTCCAGGGCAAACAACGGTACAACTGATAACTATAACAAATTCAGCAATCTTATTCTTATTCTTCACAGATCATGTTAGGAAGAAAACTACAAAATGTCAGATTAACATTTCAGGATGTATTTGAAAGTAACGAAGGGAAACTGATTTAGTTAGCAACGCTAAATAAAACAGACAATTCCCACAGATGCTTTCGCTGAAAGACTTTAAATAAACAGTGAAAAATAGCAACCATTTTAATTTCATAAACCAACCGTGAACTTCTTGTTCTGTCTGAGTAAAGTTTCTGCTTGACAAAACCTCTGGTAAAAATATATGTACTTTTTAGAAGCTCAGGGTATTTAATGGAATCACAAATGAGTCTTTTTACTGCCTCTGTTTCTTTCCTTCTTGCTCAACTGCTGAACAATATCAGGCTGAATAATACAACTTAATTTTTGTTCCCAGTTTGTCAGTTTCAAGTACAAATGCTTAGAATGCTTTCGTTGGATTCACAACAGGGCTAAGGCAGAAACACTCAACTTACTTGCCATTGTTTCATCAGTTCTCTGACTCCCTTGGAGTCTTCTAGGAGCTTCTCCTTACGGGAAGCATCCTGTAGGACATTGGCAGTTGTTTCAGCTTCTGTAATCCAGGAAAGAAACTTCTCTAGGTCCAGAGGGAACTGTTGCATTAATCTATGAGTTTCTTCACAATCAGCCTCTCGCTCACTCACTCTGCAAAGAAACAAACAGGTAGATGGAATTCACAAATATGAGGATGGTATATGCAATGAACTCAGTAAGATGTGAAAAGGTGGTGTATTACTGAATCTCTCCATTTAACCAACAATCAGAATCCCAGGCTCTTTAATATTGATTTCTAGTTAATCTAAATGATTCTTCTTGAAAGAAGCCTCACAAGTAGAATTGTTCAAAATAAAGAACAATGGTTCTGGGGATGCGACTTTATAGTAGAGTGTTTGCCTACTAAATTTGAAGCCCTAGGTTCAATCCCTGGACAATCACTTAGAAAATGAATAATAAAAGATCTATAGAAACTGGTACACACCTACACAAGAGAGAGATGGGGAAGGAGGAAAGGCAGTTGGAGGGGGAAGAAGAGAGAGGGAGAGAGTTAGAGTTCTGGCCTAACAATTTTGTTCATAAACATTCCAAAATATCTTTCTTTCAACTCTGAGTTAGTATTGAAGTTAATCTTCATAGGCAAAACCTTAAATAATCTTGCCATGCCTATCTTTGATATAACCCTGAGGCAAGAAACAAAGATTATATAGGTAAAGTAACAAGACAGAAAAATACAAATGGAGAGTTGGGATATCAATATTGGAAGGGAAAGTGGAAGTATGGGTCAGAAAGTGAGATGAAGAGACAAAAAGACTAAAAAGAAGAAAGACTATTTTACAGAAACAATTGTGCAAACTACTATCTTGCCAAACAACAGCATATTAAAAGTACTCTGTTAGGTCTGTAATGTATTACTTGGTGTCCTCCAGCTGAAGACATTATCCAAAAGAATGTAGAAACTTACAAATCACACAGACAGTAGTTGAATTCCCTATATCTTTTACCAGTTGTGTGACATGGCTTATTATTAACTTCTCTAATTTCTCCTTTCTTCTTCTTCTTTAGTAGCTATGGCTATGAAGAACACCAACTTTACATATTATGACTACTTATTATTCTTTAAAAAAGTTAGTTCCTTCTGCCTACACCATAGTATTTTAATTTATAGTTTTTTTTCAATGGAAGATACAAAAGTCCCTTATGAGAATTTTAAATCATACTTTCCAATTATATGTATGTATGTATGTATGAGTGGCTGTGTGTATGTATGATGTATGTATATACATACATACATATAGCATATAATATACACAGAAATGCCCTGAGCAAAGATCTGCATAATAATAGCTCAGAAGGGAAAATTGCCTTAAGCAATAACAGTTCCATCTAAAAAGATTCAGGTAAATTCTGTCTGAAATGAGGAAATTAGTACTCTATTTAAATGCCTTATTTGCCTTCTATGACTACACAAACACTTTCTGGGATTAAACATAAGCTAAAAATGGATTTTAAAAAATTGAACACTCGAATATGATACATGCTGCTGGTTAAGATGTGATTGTCAATAATTATGCAAAACTGCAATTTATTTTAGCAGCAACTTTATCATGGGATGTGCAAAGCAGGCAATATACAAATCCTGCGGAGCTGGCAGCAGCAAAGCCCCCAGAAGAGCTGTTTATTCATCAAGTTTTTGCTGAGCACAGTCTTTCACAGTGTAGTCTCAGCTCTCATACTGGATAAAAATCTTCTGTCTGCATTAACTGGTTAGAGAAGAGAGTAGGTTTATGAGGATACACTAGTGGAAAAACATGACCATTGCACGAAGCTATTTATCAACTCCTAAATAAATGTAATACTGTATAGGTAAAAAGGTACCATGAGGTTCTTGTTAGGCAAATCTGGAACAGCTGCAGGGAAAATCTGGAGGGATGATTTCCCTAGTTTGTAGGTAAAAACGTTAATCCAAACAGAAATACTTAAGTTGAGGCAGTTTGTTAGAATTTCAAATTTCAGTGCTGTGGTTATGGCTTGGAGAATCTGAAGGTGAAAATTGGGCATGTAACATACAGGGAAGCTCTTGAGTAAGTGATAGAATTCAGTGGCACTGACTTACAAAAGAGGCCGTTTCATGCAGTTTTTTATTCTACTTTGAGCCTAAAACTCATAATAGAAATGTTGTCCTATTCTAGAAGATAAATGCTGGGTTAGACACTGACTTATTTTTGAATATAGTCCAATTTCAGACACAATAAAAAGACATTATGAAAGTCTCCCATGGCGGAACGTAGCATAGGAGATCAGACAGTGTGCATTTTATTCTCAGTATCATTTTCATGCTGAGGGGCACTCCATGTTAGCTCCTCTGCCCTTAATCTAGAAACACCACTCACGTTTGGCTTCCACAGAAAGCAACAAGTAAATAACTTTCAAAGCTGTATGCAGTAACTCTGATGAAAGAACTCTATACAAACAATGTGATTTTCAGCCAAATCCTACCAGCAGATTCCTGCTTTATAAATGGGGCCATGAGGGAATCAGAAAAACTTCTTCAAGACAGTAAGGCACCATTTTTGTCAAAGATACCCTTGTGGTCTGAAATATTGACAACATCAGGCCTAATATTTTCTTTTTCAGGAAATACTTTAAAAGGAATTCAATGGAAGCAAGAGCAGAAAAAATCTCTCCAAGTAAGCTATTTTCCAAACCTCTTGGATCACAGATTCAACTGTTGTTTCCTTTTTATGTGGGGGTATTAATGACTATATAGTCAACCCTGGGTTCAAAATGTTAAATTTAATTTTAAAAATGTTACAGTTATTACTTTGGCAATCACTGGCTCCCCAAAATAATTTTCTAGATTTGAACTCTTCCATTTCCCTACTGCAGAAACAGAAAACATGGTCAGGTGATATGAAAAAGTATATATCCTTATCCACAACTTTTGAAACAATAGAGATTTGGATTGTTAGATATGAGTTCATAATAACTAGAACATAGCAAAGCACAGAGATTCAGTTTTCAAAGATGAAAAGACAAACAACATAATAGGATAAATTAGTCACTAAAATTATCATCATCCAAAAGAATGCATATCAGAGTACTATCAGTAAGCTATAAAAAATAGCAATAAATTCATGGGGTCTTATAGAGGCTAAAGTTACACTTTATAAATACATGACTTCAATTACCGAGATACTAAGCACTATTGCATTTCACAGTGCAGTTACGAAAGAGTCTTTTATATTTATATTCAACATTTTGGGGTATAATACTATTGCACTAAAGTAGTAGTTTTAGATCTTAGGCTTGTTCATAGATACAAGTAAATATTTATTTAAGACAATATTTTATGTGAGAAAAAACTAACATAAAAATCAATCACTTCTTACATTTTACTACTATAAATTTTAAATTAAATTGAAAAGATTTTAAGATGGCCAATAGAGAAATGAATTAATCTCACAAAATTAGTAAGTCTTGGTAGATTTTAAAAATATGGATCTAATAATTTCAAACCTATTATGGTGGCTCAAATCTGATCTATATAAAAATATGTAAGATTACAGGTAGAGTGAGCTTATTAAAACTTGCCAAAATAAAGATTAAAATGTTTTTTAAATTATTTTTTTTTATTTTTAATTCCTGGGGAGAAAACAGCACCTAAAAAGATCAAGATACTCAAAAATTCATTGACAGCTTTCAAAATATTAATCAAGACTGGTAATATATGTTATAAATTGAGGAAATTTTGAAATTAAAATTGCAAGAACAGAGGAAGTACAATGCTTGGTTTCAAGGATTCCTGATACACTCATTGATTCCTATCGATTTTAACATTTTCCACCATTAACTTATTGCAAATTCCATAAGGGCAAGGCTTCATACCATTCCTGGCATTTAGTAAATGTACAATAAATTCAATTAAGATCAATAAACCTACTACAAACTAGACATACTTTCTAAGAATGAAGACCTTGGCTCTAATTTTTAAAAATCTTAAAATCATTTATTGATGTGGATGCATTGACTAATATGTAATTTTTTTCAGATTTTTTTTAAGGAAAGAAAGGTTATAAATTTCTTTCGCAAAAGTTACAAAAGTAATAATTTGCAGCTACTCTTTTCTTTAGACAAAGCTAAATCTAAAAGAGAGTTCATAGTTTTACACATGAAAAGAGTCTTTCCTTTGTCTAAGTGATTGTTCTTTTCCCCCTAGCAATAAAAGTGATATCGTAGACAGATTTACTGGCAGCACATTGCATTTAGTTGTCAACAGCTGAATTTCTGTTATTCTTACCTGAATGTTAAAAAAAAAAAAAAAGCACACACAGAAAAGCACAACCTTTGTCAAAATTAGCTTCTAATTTTGGTAATTTTTCAGAATTCTTTCAAGTAGAATCATGGTTCAGAGATATCAACTTATAAACCACACTACCCAGAAACTTATTTGCTTTCTCTTACCCAACATATCTCTGCCTGCTCTGTCTTTTACTATCCATAAATTGGAAGAGCATCTGCTCTGTGACTCTGCTCATGTACTATCAAAATCATCCAGCATGTCATGGATGTGATGTGTACAGCACCAGAGATACAACTTTCACCACTCGAATCGGGTCTATTCATTGAGATCCTTTGTCTCTCTGTATGAAATAGTTTCTAACCAATCTGATTTGTCATGCATCCAGCTAGTACTTCTCTACTGTATCCCCAGGAATGGACTGGAACCTTGTAAAGGCTGCATTTTGCTGATCTACAGGTCTAAATTTTTTTCAAAATAAACTAGTTTTTATCTCAAAGATATAAATGATAAGTTGCCACTTATCTCTGTAAGAAGTGCATCTGTTTTTTTTCCTCTTTTTACTAAATTACCTGCCAAATGTTTATAAGAAATTAGTTTATATTTTTCTTATAGGTTCCACCTAAGTACCATTACATGGGATAAATTTAGACCAAATAATATTTTCTATGTTTTATATATGCAACTTCATGGCATTTGCCAAGATGATATTAAAAGGAAACTTATATAGCAATGGGAGAATATTAAATTGGAATTTTCTATAGACCATATGGTTCAATAAAGGTTGTGGCAATAGACAGAAGGGCATAAATGACAGAATTTTAACAGATTTGCTACACACCAACAGTTC